TGCCCACCCCCACCACACCAGGAAATTCAAAATACTTTTTCACTTCTTCAAGTGATACCATATCTACTCTTAACGCTAAAATTAAAACTGCTTCTTTCTAAATAGTCTGTCTTGAAACACCAGAACTTCTTCTTTCTCTCCAACTGCTGCTTTGCTGGTGTGCCTGGTACACAGTAGGTCTGCTTCAGGCTACTCAGTGTCTCCTGAGACCCCCCAGCTGCCGGGCTCCAGAAGTCAGGCCCACAGGGCAGTGTGAAGGGGGCTGAGACCACGTGCCACATCTCGGCTTCCAAGAGTTCTCTGTGGAAAAGAGGGCCTCCTGCCTGGAGACAGTCACTCTCTGAACTGAAGCAGGGCGGTGACGGCTGTCGGCGAGCTGTGATGAGTTAGCTCCCACTGGGAGCACACAGTGGGGGCACAGGGAGAGAAGGGGAGCAGAGATGGGGAAGGTTGAGAAAGAAGCTCTCGGGAGATTAGAATCTGGATGGTGGCACTGGTTTGTAACCTGCCGCTCAGCTCTAGCTGCTCAGACGTAATTGTCCTCACACCAGCCTGTGACTGGAGGCAAGGTCTTGGCTAAGCTCTGGTGCTTATTCACCGGGTGGCCCTGGTTTGTCACCTCCTCTCCCTCTCGGCTGCAGGTTTCTTCTATCCATCATGACGGGCTACCCCAGAATATGGCACGTTGGCATATTGAATATTTTAAGCTGAAGGAATTTGAGAAGCAGGAGGTGTGGGAAGGACTTTGTGACCCTCCCCGGAAGCAGGTCATAGCTCCTTCCTGTGAGAGGTCCCCTGCCTGTACCCGGAGGAAAGGGGCACCCGCATCTCCAAGACACCAAGAGGAATCCAACAAAGAGACCCGCAGCCCCCCGCCCCGTCTGCTGCACCCAGCTCACACCCGCCTCTTGTCCGATCATATTTTCCACAACTTTCCAGTCTCCTCACGCCTGGCATTAAAACACTCCGATTTACCCCTTCCGTTGGGTCTTTTCGTGTGTCATGTAAAACTTATGTGAAATAAATTTGTATGCTTTTCCCTTGTTAATCTTTTGTTACAGGGGCCTGAGCTGAGAACTTAGAAGGGTAGAGAAAAATATATACATATTATAATTGCAATAGAGCTTGAAGTTTCCTCCCAAGCATCGTTTAAGAGTTTGGGCTCCTGCTTCTGAAACCTGGCTTCACCATTTACCTGCTGTGTGACCTTGGACAAGTCACTGCATATCTCTGAGCCTCTGCGTTCGTATCTGTAAAGTGGGAGCAACAGCCGTCCTCACTCAACTCACGTGGAAATGCTTAGCGGAACGGCCGGTTTGGGGTAAGCACTCACTGAAGTTGGAACCTTCGTTATTAATGGCCTGTGACTCCGAGGCTGGACCCCGGAGTATTTCTCCACACGCAGGCCATCTTTCCATAAACCGGGTCAACCCAAGGCCAGGATTTTGAAGCTCAAAGCCCTGCCTAGCTCTGGGCTCTATTCCCAGCCATGCATCAGCCTCAGATACACCCCAAAAGAGGCACCTGTGAGATGAGGAAGAAGAGACACAGAACCCAGGAGGGGTGTAGGAACATGGACACCAGCCTGGGGGGACCTGTGGCCTCTCAGATGTTGGTCCCAAATTTTCATAAGCCCTCTGCTATATCCACTTGCCCATCAGCCTCTAAGAGTCACCTGTAGATCAATCTACTTTTGTTCTTTTTTACTTAAATATATTTATTTTAAATATATTTATTTATAAATGTATTTATAAATAAAAACATAACTGGAAAATCTTTATTATCTGCCAATAGTAGAGGTAAAGCTAAAACAGTAAACAAACAGATCGACAGCCAGGTCCTGCTGGATTCTGTGTCTTCTCCGTGCTGTTCTTTGATTTGCAAGCATCATAAGGGTGTAAAAGACTTATTAACCCCGAACGGGATGGGAGAATATGTCGGATCGTGCCGGGCCCAGGACCCACCTGACATCTTCCTACAGTTTGGGAGATGTCATGGGGCTTGGGGCTAAGGCCCTTGCCTGGGAGGTGGGCTCCAGAGTCCCTAGGTGGGTTATCCCAGGGTCCTGGGTCCCTCAGCCCCTGAGGATGAGGGCACATGCACCCAGCCCTGATGACTGACTTGCCTGGCGTGAGAACAGAAGGCTGAGCTACCTGTATCCTTTAGGGTTCCCTGCCCTCACCTTGTCAAGAATACCTGATATTAGGGCGACTAGTCTATTCTGCAAATGCGAAGCCCTCTGCATTCATAGCAAATAGAGCACATGCCGAGGCAATGCCCCTTCTCCTTCAGCCCCGAGCAGGCAGATCCCCGCACACCAAGTGTCTCTCTTGCCTGCCCCTCACCTCCTCCCAACTCAGGTCCTCTGAGCTGCCACTCAGTACAAGTCTGCAGTCACCATCCACAGCCTTCCCTCCTTGCCCCTCCCTGAAGTATTTCTGGATTCAAGAAGGGAAGAAAGTCCTGAAACCCGAGAAGAAGTCATCCTCGGTGACAGTGACGTGCCTGTGCCTGTGCATTAATAGAAGCCTCCCTCAGGCCCCTGTCACGTCTAAGCAGCTGCTCAGCCCTGTCCAATGTCCCTCAGCCCCAAGGCCAGCCCACTCTGGCTTGGCCGGGCACCCTAAACTTAGCTTTCACACCAGCACTATAACTGCTGCCACCTGCCCAAGGAGACGCTGCCACCAGACCCAGACTTGAGTACGTACTTCTCCACAACCACCATGTCCCAGACCAAAGCCCTGAAGGCCCGCGTGACCCTCTTCTGCATCCTGGTGGGCATCGTGCTGGCCATGGTGGCCGTGGTGACCGACCACTGGGCCGTGCTGAGCCCCCACGTGGAGCACCACAACGCCTCCTGTGACGCAGCCCACTTCGGCCTCTGGCGGATTTGCACCAAGAGTATTGTCATGAGTGGCAGCAAGGACAAGAGCTGCGGACCTATCACCCTGCCTGGGGGTAATGTACCCACTCTCTGTCCCCCGTCCCTGCGTCCTGCCCGTACTCATCTCCCTGGAAAAGTGGCCCGTGGGAAAGAGGGCAGGTTTTCATGCCTTAGAACAGCTCTCTGTGCCCAGGGAAGGGGATCTGAACCGCATGCCGTCATGCTTGCAGCCAGCGCTGTGTTGTAAAATGAAGGGATTTATTTCCCGCTACTTCTGTCTTGCTGACGCTTGGGGCTTCTCAGTCAGAGCAGGGGTCTGGACGGGTGGGACAAGAGGCTCAGGAAAGAAACCGGGGGCCGACCAGACTAGAGGCTTCTGGCCTCAGCAGCAGTCACTCCTCTGGGTGTGCCCAGCTCCACTCTCTCCCTGTAAGGACAGGCTGGTGGCCCTATGTCCTCAGGTTGAAGGGACCTATGGGGCTGGCATGTTTCTTTCTCAGCCTCCAAGGTGTAGACAGGATAGACTGCAGAATTTATAGGACCCAGAGCAAAATGAAAATATAGGGATCCTTGTAATTGTTTTTAAGAGTTGCAAGGTGGTGACGGCAGAGCATGAAACCAAGCCTAGGTCCTTTCTGGGTGCAGGGCCTTGAGTGACTGCACAGGCCACACGTTCGTGAAGCTGGGTCCTGGTTGGAGATGAGCCACCTACTTTTTGTCAGAGCCATCGGTCCTTCTGTACTTACTTTCTTGACTCAGAACCCTTCAGAGTTAGAAAGCATTTTCTTCCTCTGCAATATAAGTACATTCCTCGATTTCCTACCATGTGACCAATTGAAGGTGACACACTGAAGGTGAACTCCTTGTCAAGAATCCCTGATATTAGGGCGACTAGTCTGTTCTGCAAATGCGAAGCCCTCTGCATTCATAGCAAATAGAGCACATGCTGAGGCAAGAACCCTGCTTAGAGAGTCAGAAGGCAGGGCTCGTCATACATTGCCACAACCTCCTAAATAACTGCAGGGGGTGTGACAATGCATTGCAGCCTCTGCTTCCTCCTGTGGCTCTTGGGCTCAGCAACATAAAGCCCCTTTGAGTGCTTACAAATGTCACTCCCAGGTGGTGGTGGACCAGGGTGAGTGTCCCACCTGGTTATCAGAAGTATTTCTTCTGTCATTAGACTTGGTGTTCCTTGAAACCTGCCCTTTGAGGAAGTCAGTGCCAAGTCCCCGAAAATCTTGCAATGTGTGTGGGGGACGAAGGAGCTCAAATCTCATTCTTCCCACTTCCGTCCGTCCTCTTCCTTCCCCTGCTGCTGGCTCCAGGAAACTCCTGCCTCGCTCATTCCCACTGGACGCCCAGAAGACTCGTAAATACCCAGCTGTCTCGGAAACACTGAGTGCCAGGGCTGAGGGCTTTAAATGGCATGGACATGTGCCTGAAGGATATCACATGGCCCAGATGCCCACGCCCCTCAGGCACTGCCGAGCACACCCGTAAACAGATGCATCATCCAGCCAACTCCCCTGGGCTGGGCAGGGCAGGGCAGGGCAGGGTGAGGCAGATTCTCCAGGGATCACACATAAGAATGCACTGATATGGTCCTGTCCACCTGTCCTGAGGGGGCACCTGCCTTTTAAAGTCTGGTGAGTTTACAGAGCAGATGAGCAGGGAGGTGAGCAAAGTCTATACAAGGCAGAGACAGACTGGCAGGAGGTGACTAAACCTGCCACAGGGGACCAGCGGGCATGGCTTGGCCTTGAGCCTGAGCAGAGAGTCTTATGTCTATGGCTTCTCACTCAGAGCCAGAGTGAATCATACCCTCCATACTTGTGATCCCTACCTTACCCCAAACAAGCTTCCAATGTGTATTCTTGCCTTCTTCCCTTTCCTTTCTCTACAAGTGGACATCATTTTTGTTCCCCACTCTGTGCTCTATGAGATCACTCTTTTCCTGTGCTCTATGAAATCACTCTTTTCTGGATGGATGAATGGGGTTCACACATGTTCTCTTATTTATTATCAACAACAATGATATTAACTGCAAGCACTAGTAGAGCACTATCTGCAAAACGTTGCTTTAGCTGCTTTAAGTGTTTTCTATATATGAAATTTGGATGCCATCAGAAAAAAAAAAAAGACAGAGCGAGAACCTCCTCAAATCCTCTTCTCCATAAAAACAATGAGAACATTGGTAAAAAATGATCCGAAGACACATTTTCAGAACTCTGGAAATGAACCAATCTTGCAGCAATCCAGCACATGCTTATTCAAGAAAAATGGGTGAATCTCAGGAAGAACAGTGAACTACCTTGCTCCATTATTTTCCCCCGACTCCGTCCTAGCCTTGAAAACCCACAGCCTGCAAACGCAGTGAAAACCAGCGGCCTGTAAGCCACCAGAGTGGATGGGTGGGCCAGATCTCTTTCAAAGCCTCATTCCCAGAGAACTATCATTATTTGTCTGTCTGGTGGTTCCCTGGATGTCCCCACATGCAAGGCTCGCTTTCTTTGACCTGACTCTGAGATCACCCAGTGGAAACAGTTTGTTTTCCAGGGAGGCATTTGTCCAAAACGATTAGAAACAATCGCTTAATATCATAACCGCCTGAGGCAGTCGGTAACAGGGCAAACAGCAGGCTAACCCCAAACTTGGAGAATGAGATGTCTGTCCACAGGTGGCTTTGAAAAGTTCCAACACATTCCTTGGAATTTAGAAGCCCATGTGCATGCACAGTGCTATAGGTGTGCACAGGGAAGACCTGAGAAGGCCCTAAGCTCTTACCTCAGACTCCCCCTGAGGCCATGTGCAAGCAGAAAGCGAAGGCTAAGGCAGAAACGTAGACTGCTTAGCTAAGTGCTTAGCTCTCCGCTTAGCACAGAGCTCCTCGGTAAAGACTGGGAGATACATTCGTTCCAAGCACTTTAGGAAATTTCTGCGAGCTGACCACCAAACTAACTGAGCAGAGATTTCAGTTGCCACCCATGACAAAGAATATAGACTTTACAAAATTAGTTCAGAAAAGGCACTAAACAAACAACGATAACAAGCAGCAACAGGAGGAAACCCTGGGGAAATGCGGGAATCTGATTTCTAGAGTTGTTACAGTATGGTGTTTAAATTGTCCAGTTTTAAATTTAAATTAAAAAAAAATTTTTTTTAAATTACAAAACACGTAAAGAACTGAAAAAGCATGGCCCATACATGAGAGGCGGGATAGCACTCAATAGAGCTTTAAGGAAGCCTAGATATTGAACTTACGAGACAAAGACTTTAAATCACCCCTATTTAGATACATTCAAAAAACAAAAAGAAACCATATCTACAGAACTAAAGTAGAGATGAGAATGATGTCTCATGAAACAGAGAATATCAACAAAGAGATAGAAATTATTTTAAAAGGACCTAATAGAAATTCTGGAGTTGAAAATTACAATAACTAAAATGGGGCGGGGTGGGGCGGGAATCTCTAGAGGACTTCAATAGAGACCTGGGCAGGCAGAAGAAAGAATCCATGAACTTTAAGATAGGTCCGTTGAGATTAGCTAGTCTAAAGAACAAACAGAAAAAAGGAATGAAGAAAAAATAGAGAGAGTCTGAGATACGTGAGGGGCAGAATGAAATGTACCGACATATGCGTAATGGTCGTCCCAGCGGAGAGGAGAGGAAAGAGCAAGAAGAATATATGAAAAATAGTGGCCAAACATTTTCCAAATTGGATGGAAAACATTAATCAACAAACCCATGAAAGCTTAAAGAACACGCAGTGGGATAAAATGAAACCTAGACACATCACGATCAAACTGTTGAAAGATACAGACAGACAACCTTGTAAGAGCAAGAAACGACTCATCACATCCAAGGGATTCTTAGTAAGAGTAACAGCTGATTTTCCCCAGAAACCATGGAGGCCAGAAGGCAGTGAGATGACATGTAGACATGAACTCATCTAATCTTCTCAAAATCCTCTGTGAGGTCCATACTATTCTCATCATCCCATTTTACAGATAAAGAAAAGGAGGCACAGAGAAGTTGAGGGATTTGACCGAAGTCACACAATTTCCATGGCAGAGCAACCAGGGTTCGTGTCCCTAAAATTCACCTTCTTAATCACTACATTATACTACTTTATAACAACCCAAAGAGAGGACTCTCATTCTACAGGCGGGAAAACAGGCTCAGAGTGGCCTTCCCAAGGCTAACCAAATAACAAGTAAATGTTTAACACCTAAATCTCAAATCCCGAGCCTCTCTGCTCTCCAGTCCCCTCCCACACCCTTCACTGTACATACAAACGCAGCTTCTAAAAGCTGCTGACCCAAGAAAAACACATAAGAGGCCAACTTTTGACATGACATGCACCAGGAGCTGACGCACTAGAGAAGACTTTTTAAGATCCCATTCAGCCATAATATGCTGGAGGCTCTGAGGACACAAATTGTCTAACTCGGTTTTCCACTGACCCAGAGAATCTTAAAAGGATCATCATGCACAAGATCCTCATCTGAGGTCAATGCCTCCAGAGTGAGAACAGGGCTTCCCCGGTGTCAGGAGAAGCTGTCTGTCTGAAAGTCCAAGTGCTCCCGCAGAGGGGTCAACCCCTGTTCTTGGGGTGGGCAGAATGCTTTCTTTCAGGCTCTGCCTCTTTAGAGCAAGGCAGCAGCCTGCTCCAGGGCCTTATTTCCCCAGTGGTCCACATTCTCTCCTAGTATCTGGTGCAAGGACTGGGAACATATGATGCTACTGACCCCAAAGATTTCAGGAACTCCTTTTCCCATCCACGCAAGCCCATGCTGGAGACCCAGGCCACTGCTAGATTTCTCTCCCTCAGAACAGCAATGCTTGGAAGCTCTGGGGTCAAGTCTCAGGGATTTCACCAACGATTTTTATAAAAGTCTTCAATCAGTGGGGTAGAGGGAGACAGAGCACAGAGTAACTACTGTTGGGGGACGACAAGGACTTTTACAGAAAGGCTGAAGACAACTGTGGCATTGAGGCACGTAAGAAGCGAATGAAACATCTCTTCCAATCCCTACAGGGTTGGTTCCCTTGGTTTTGCACAAATCGACCATGTGTTTTTTAATATATTAAAGTCTGTATCAACTGTAAGAACCCAGAGGCATTCCTTGATTATACAAACTGTTCAACTATCAGAGAAAGATCTGTATTAACTCAAGTTCAGCTTAGAGTTAAATGTGCCTTCTGTTCTAGTTCTTAACTGGCACAGATATCCGTGGTTCTGTGTAGACAGTCACTCCCTTAACCAGAATATTTGTTTAGGCAGAATATTCCAACCCCAGTCAAGCCCAATAGCTGAATTCATCATATTTTTTAAGGAATAATTCACGTAAAGTTTCTAGACCACTGAGTCTTATGATCGTTCACAGTAGATATTTCTGAAATACAATAAAATAGAAATACAAATGTTGAAATCACCGTGAGCCATTCACACAGACGAAGGGGGCAGAAGGAACCTCAGATTTCCTAATTATGGTCCCAGATCATCACCCTGGTATCTCTGCTGACTTAGTCCAAAGCATTTGCTTCTTCTGCCCAGTGAAGGAAGGGGCTGGAGCCCGTGGAGACGAAGCTGTGAGCCCTGAGCTTCATGCATGTACGATGGAGGCCAAGCAGGGGACACGGAGGACAGCAAAGAGGCGGCAGCAAGAAGGCTCAGGATCCTCAGAGGGTCTGCATGGAACTGTTATTGCCCCTCTCCTCCAAATTCCCACCTGTGACGAAGTGGCCCACACAAGGCCCATCTCAGATGTCCTTCCTTTCCAAGTTGCCCTCGATGCTCAGACAGCATCCAGACAAAGAGGCAGGACCTGTCCTTCCCCACAGGACCCTGGGCAACTCTTGAATGACGGTGGCAGATGCCTGGCGCAATTAGTCCTGAATGAGCATCTTGTTGGTGCCGGACATGCCCAGGCTGAGGTCTGGGTCTGACATGCCCCTGCCCCTGCCAGGGCCAGCAGGACCACAAAGGGTCTGTGGTGTCCAATGGGCAGTCACAGGGCCCTGAGTGGAGAAGGCACTGGCCTTCCTCATGTACCAAATCCAAGAAAGGCCTGCCGTCCTCAAGCCCCAAATTCAGCCACGTCAGAGAGAAGCTGAGACTTCCAGATGTCCTGAGTGGGAACTGCACCCACTGGGTGCCCTCATCCCTCATGTGTGACAGCATTTAGTAGGGGAGGGGAGAGACAGGAACGCTGTGCCTGAGTCGCTGAGGGGAAAACTCCCTTCTAGAACCCTCAGGCTGGCTTCCCAGACACGGAGTGCGCCCACCTCCTGTGGTCTAAGCTAAGGCAGTTTTTATGCAAGCACCTGGGCGCAGCAGCAGTCTGTCCAGAATGGAGCCTGGTGTTTATCTGGTGGGGCAGACAACCCAAACACGACCTGCGAAAGAGTGGCCTCAGCAACCCAGAACCGCCAGACAGCTGTGCCTCGGCCAGGCTCTCGTCAGGCCTTCATCTCACGGCCCTCCACTCCGAAGGCCTTTAACTCGCGGGATGCAAGGAGTCAGAGGGGCAGCTGACCGTGAAATACACTTGAATTCAGTTAATTCTTTTCAGAGCGTTTTCAATGACAACCAAAATTGGCCCGAAAAGAATGAAACAGAAATATTCCTTTGTCCAGGGGAGACACATGGTGACTTAGGACATAGCACGAGCCATTTTTGAAGCAGTGATTCAAGAGAATCTATAGCTAATAATCTAACAAATATAAGAAGGTTGCATTATGCTTTAAAATAGCCCCGGAAGCTGTGAGAGAGAAAAGAGCAGCGTCAATTCTGACATCACCACTGATAGTCAGACGCCCTAGGTAACTCAGTTCAAAAGAAGTGATTTAAATATAGAAGCTCAAAGTGAAGGCAGTTTACCTCCTAGAACATTTACTGTTGCTAAGCCAGGCTCCGTCTCCAGGGGTCATTTCCTTCCTCAGTTGTGGGAGCGGCAGTAACCTTGACGCTGAGGGAGGAGTGAAGAGTGGGAGGCCACAGTGGCAAGAAGATGATTTAGGCCGGATAGAAAGAAGCCAGCGAAGGCTATGGCTTTGGCAGCACCTCCAGTGTGTTTCCAAAAGAAATGAGCCATCGGTCACCTTGTACAATTTAAATATAGTCTGAAGGTAAAGAAATGAATGCACAAAGCACATACCAGCTAAACTAGGAGCAGAGATGTTGTCTATGGAAGGTCATGGATCCACGGGAAAAATAAATCAATGAAACTCCTCTCACAAATAAAAAGCAACCTAATTTAGGGGTTTTTTTAAGAAACAAAGTAATATAAAATAAGCTATTTATCTGCTTCCTAAATCAAAAGTAAAGAATATTAAACTATATGAAATAAGTGATAAGACTAGCCTTGTATGTCTAGTTATAAGAAAGATGAAAGGAGAAAAATGAAAGCGAAATTATGCCTGGAATTATATTTAAAATTGGCATGAATTCCTTTGTTCTGAGACTTCCCTCTGCCTCCCATCAAATCCGCATTTTTGGTCCAACTCTCCACAGATCTTCTATGGCTCTCCTGACACCCACCAGGTGGGCCGAGCAGCTCCCCAGGGGAGGTCTTATCGAGGCTGCCTCATTGGCCACAGGTGTCAAGGGTCCGATGAAATGACATGATGGTCACATCTGGCACTTGAATGGATTCTCTACCCTTCACCCAAGTCCATCCAGATGGTCCACTCAGAAAAACACTTTGTGGGGCATTTTAAGGAGCCTGGCTGAGCATCAGAATCTCCTGGAAAGCTTTTGAAAAACACTGCTTGCTTCCCAGGTCACACTCAGTGAAGCAGGGTGCTCCTGAATGCTGATAACAAAAGAAAAAAAACACAGCTCCAGATTTGGGTGTGATCCAGGGTTTCTCACCCTCAGCACTACTACATTTGGGGCTGGATAATCTCATGTTTTTAGAGGGCTGTCCTGTGCATAATGAGATGTTTACTGGCCATTACCACTAAATGCCAATCAATATCAGCCCTGCCCCATTGTGACACCAAAAATGTCTCCAGACATTGCCCAATGTTCCCCGGGGGGCAGAATCAGTCCTGGTCGAAACTACTGTTTGGCACTTTGGTGACCATGAATCCTGCACCCCCTGACAAATGGTTCGAGCCCTGTGCCTGTTACCCCATCTGCTTAATGGGGCCATACCCACGGTGCTGTCTGCCCCTCGACCAGTTAGCCTTAGCTCCCAGAAGGTCTCCCAGCCTCTTATGCAAAATCTGCTGAAATTTTGGTCTAAGGATCAGAGAAAGATCCTTGTCTCAGCCCAGGGTCAGCGTCTGGGGAGAAGAGGACCAGCCATCCGGGTCCCTCACGCCCACCCCAGCGGGATCACGCCCACCCTGTCTCTGCGAGCCTCCGCTCCCAGCTGCAGGCTCTTTCTCTCAACTCACAGGCTTTCTCCCTCTTTTGCAGAGGAAAGCTGTTCCTACTTCAGGCATTTTAACCCAGGCGAGAGCTCAGAGATCTTCGAAGTCACCACTCAGAAAGGTGAGCCTGCGGAGGAAAGCGGGGAGGCTGGGGAGAACTGACTGCCGTCACACGCTACTGAGCCAGAAAATCATTTGGCACAAAAGCCTTGACTTCCCCGCTCTTGATGAAAAGAGCAAAAGAGCCGTGTCACCCTCTGTCACCCTCTGTGCTCCGTCTCCAGGCATCCTGAGCCTCCATTCATCAGGGCTAGAGAGACGCTGTAAAAAGCCCCGGCCCCTGCTAGCAGAAGGAATGCATTTTCCAACAGTGCCTAAGGGCGGCCGTTGTGACAGGAGTTGGGAACATGGAAGGAGCACTCGAAATCCCTGTGACGGTTTTCAGGGCTGGAGGCCAGGGTCTGTGGGGAACTGATTCCTTCCCTCGCCCACAAATCACTCCCTCCCAGTCAGGAGAGCAGGGACTTGGGGAGACGTATAAGGTCCACATGTGCCCTGGGGGCCTTTCGGGAACCATGGAGCTCAGAGGCACCCTAGTGTCCTGAGGACGGACCCACATCTGTACGGGCGTGGACGCTGGCCCACGGTGTGGGCCTGCACACACGCTCGCTCTGCCAGTGCAACACTAACACACACCAGCAAATCTTACACCTGCATTGTGCACACACACAAACACACACACACACACACACTCACAGTCACATGCACTGTGCCCTGTAAGCCACACCTCCACAGGCTGCTTGTCGGTCCCAGGACAGACAGACCACTCTCAGCCCGAGGGCTGCCTTCTGCCCTGTCACTGGGAGTTTTCTGCTCCAGAAAGTTCTCCAGCCACGTGCCTCCCGGGAGTTGGCTTTAACATTCATGGTGACATCCCGGCCGCCCCGCTTCCGCGCTGCGCGGCTTCCAGGGGGTGATTTCACCTCTCGGATCCGCAGTCTTCGCAGGCGAGCAGTGGGGACGCTGAGTGTGCGGCACCATCGCCCACCCGGTTGGCGGCACGACCGGCCACGACCTGCGGCCCCGGGACTGGGCCGCCGCTGAGGTGCCGGGGCCGCGCGTGCCCGCCCCTCTGTGTTGCAGAGTACAGCATCTCGGCCGCCGCCATCGCCATCTTCAGCCTTGGCTTCATCATCCTGGGAACCATCTTCGTGCTCCTGTCCTTCAGGAAGAAACGGGACTACCTGCTGAGGCCGGCGTCCCTGTTCTACGCCTTCGCAGGTAGGAGGGGGAGATGACGTCACAGGGCGGGGGACAGCATCGCGGGGTGGGAGATGACATCACAGGGTGGGGACGTAGGTTTGGGTGACGTCACAGGTGGAGGGCACGCGGTAGGGGATGACGTCACAGGGTGAGGGATGACGTCACCGGGCGGGGGCAACATCGCACGGTGGGAGATTACGTCACAGGGTGGGGACGTGGGTTTGGGTGACGTCACAGGTGGAGGGCACGCGGTAGGGGCTGACGTCACGGGGTGGGGGATGACGCCACAGCGTGGAGGACGCTGCCGCCGCACCCTCAGGCCCTCTTGGGGGCCGGAGGAATTCCCGGGTTTGGCCGGGAGCTCTGTTGGGTCCGGGAGGGGGCGGGATCTTGGCAGTTTGTCCATTTCTCACAAAGATCTAACCTTCAAGTCACTAAGAGCAATGCCGGTTACTCATGAAATTTTGAATTAATTTTAAAAACACTCACAAAAGGAGGAGAGCAACGCAGGTAGCCTGAGGGCGCGCGAAGTGCGCGGCGGCCAGGCAGAGGGGGCACTTTTGCAGGTTGCCATGTAGACCGTTGGTCTGGAGTCAGTGCCCCCCAGGGCCGGGAGCAGAGGCCCCCGGAGGCGCAGGCCGGGGCGGGGCGCTGAGTGTCCGGCTGCGCCCTCAGGTCTCTGCATCTTCGTCTCGGTGGAGGTGATGCGGCAGTCGGTGAAGCGCATGATCGACAGCGAGGAAACGGTCTGGATCGAGTACTATTACTCCTGGTCCTTCGCCTGCGCCTGCGCCGCCTTCATCCTCCTCTTCCTCGGTGGCCTCACCCTCCTGCTTTTCTCCCTGCCTCGGATGCCCCAGAACCCCTGGGAGTCCTGCATGGACGCCGATCCTGAACACTAGCCCTCCTGGGGGCCCAGTGACTCGCAGGGCTGTCCCCTCAGGAAGCCGAGCCTAGAAAGAACATTCTAGAAAGGAGGCAGGAGCTTCACGTCTCCCCTGTTCCCACCTGCCCTACAACAGCTGCAGCTGCGTCCCCTCTCTGAGCTCTTCTCTGGGCTGTGACAGTCTCCTCTGCCAATCGAGCAAGCAAGCGGACATGATCCAGACATGGGCAGGAGGCAGGGCCAGCTCCTCTGGAGCCCAAAGCTGTCACCGCTGGGCCAGTTGTCCTCTGTTACCTTATCGGAACGCCCCGTGCTCCTGCAAGCTCCGGGTGTTCTCCTGTGTAAGTAGCCAGCCCCTCTCTCCTCGTCGTCGGTGACAAGGTACATCCTCTGCGGTGAGCTGAACCTCCCGCCCCTGGCTTCTGGGAGGCCTGAGAAGCATTTCTAACTGGGTGTTTTCTGACTGTGGTTTGAAATAAAAGCTCTTTGAAAAGTTGCTTTTTCCTTGTGTTGCGCATAGAAAAATGGCTTGGATTCCTGCCCACAGCTCAGGGACCCCACTATCCTGAAAGAGAAAGGAAAGTGTGTCTCCCACGCACCCTCCCAGCCCCCGCCCCAGGTATGCTAAGGACTTCTGTGGGGATGAGGGGGAGAGCGGAGCAGAGGGGGCCTGTTTACCAATGAGACTGAGAGGTTCTAAATTCCAACTTGTACCTCTGGGCCCTGGGGTATTCTTTGGGAGAAACCAGAGACCATCTGACTAGGCAAGGGTGTTAAAAATAGGAGGGGTTATTTCCAGATCCCCGGCATGGGAGGCGTCCAAATGCTAGCACAGCCACAAGTGTCTGATTTCTGATGCTGGACTTTTGTCGCAAAGAACACCAGGAAGCAGAGCTTAGCAGTTAGAGGCACAGGGCCCTGCAGAGTGCCGCCATTTACACTCTGCTACCTTCCAAAACCCCACCTTACTCATCTGGCCCTCAGAGATGGCAAGTCACGTTGCTGGCAGCGAGGCCCCACGTGCTCCTTAGCCAGAAGTCCCGTGTAAAGCTCACCGCACCTGCTGTACGGCCCACAAGCGAAGAATGCTTTTCGCGATTTTAAATGTTTTAAAAAATAATAATAATAATATTCATGATGTGAAAATTTTATGAAATTCAAATATCAGTGTCCATAAAGGAAGTCAAGATAAACCAAGAAAAAGCCACTAGTTAACATGGGAAGGACAGGTTTTCATCAGTAACATACTGTTGCAATAGGGAAATGTCCAACGTGAACTGACCGCAACTGTGATTTGTATGGAGGTGACTGGGCATTTTAAAGGGAGAAGGTGGGAGTAAGGAGGGGGCCTGATGGGGGCTCTGTAGAGTCAGAGAACTGGAAGGTTACAAAAAGCAGGAAGGTGGGGTTGATGCATGTGAAACCCATCCGGGCATGCTAACTGGCACTTACCAAGTTAGGCTCCTGGCTCCTCACAGAGGCTGGGAGATGGGCCTGTCTTCAGGTGTCAGCTGGAACCAACAGCAAATTCTTCTGGCAGCCTTGAGTTTTTTCAAGCAGACACTTTAAGGGAGGCTACGGTCATCCTAGGGATGTGGCCTTGATCTGTTAGAGACTGTGCCTGTGTTTGGTCAAGTCTTTATAGGCCAAGGTTGAATCAGGAGGAGGACTCAGAGGAGCCTGAGCAGAGTCTGGTGGAGGAGAGAGTCTGTGGGAACACAGCCACACCCCTTCTGTGGCTAATTTCATGCTAAGACAGCAGCGTTAAGTAGTCGCAGCAGAGACTGCGTGGCCTGCAAAGTCGGAAGTATTTACTACCTAGACCTTCATGGAAAGCATTTAGCAACCCTCTTTCTGGAATACTGTGCACTCAGCAGCCCGCTTATTAACCCCTTGCTGTTCTCCTCTGTAAAGACAGGGAAAAGAGAGAGACTTGTTCATCCTGCTTAGAACAATTTAACAGGAAGGCACATGAGTCTGGGGCATCTGGGCAGGGCCTGCGGGGGGCTTGTCAAAATCCTTCTCTGCTCTCCCAGGGGTCTGGGCTGGGCTGGGCTGGGAGGGGCGGCCAAGGAGCCTGGGGACAGGGCTGAGGAGCCTAGGGACAGACAGAGAGCACAGCCCAGCTGGTGCACAGTTCTGAAATCCGAAAGAGTCAAGAGAGCAGAGTAACATAAAATATGATGAGGTCAAAGCCGGAGCACTGCAGAGCAGGACAGGTGGCAGGCGGGCCCTGGGGGCGGTGCTGCATAGCTAGATGTGGCGGGACACTTCCCAGAAATGCCAAGAGGAGCCTGAGAGCGAACTTGCTCCAGGTATGAGGATAGGAAAATGAAAGTCTGGACCAGCCAGGTAGCTGGGGCCACGGTTTACAACTAAGAAGGAAGACGGATGACCTCGTTCCACAAACTCCATTTTGGAGGTCAGTATTCTTGGGTTTTATTATCATTATTACGTAGCAGAATTACACTGGTATGTATTTTATATTTCTACAGGGGTGCCTATATTTTTAGCACTGAAAAACACTTCTGAATGGACTAGCCACTGAATGGACTAGCCACAAACAAGACATTTGACTTTCTAGGGTTTTAAACCTTTCGAGAGAGACAGTAGTGCCCAGAACTGCTATGCAGACCAAGGGTTGGAGGGCAGCTGCCAGACAGACACACAGCATCATGTCTGCTCCCGCCCCTGCTGCGGACCGAAAGACACAGCAACAACACAACGTAGAGCCCGATACTGAAAAACAAACAAACAAATCAACCAGACCACTGAGAGAACACGTCTTTTTCTCCCCAGCTCCCACTGATCCTTGCAAGGAATGGGCAGTTGGTCAGTCTGGCTCAGGCTGGGTCTGGCTCAGGATTCAAGGCACCCATCAGCCCTCACTGCAGAGTTCAGCCAGGTCATCCTCTGAGGTCCTGCCGAGGGTCTCACAGCAAAACAACAGTGCGATTTGCTCCAAGGGGTGTAGTTAGCATCAGAAACCCACAGCTCCTACCTCCTCACCAAGCGTGTGTGAATTCAACAATCATCGAACCCTGAGGTTCCATGACACTGACATTTTTTCGGCTTTTTAAAATTCATCATATGCTGTGAGGGAAGGAAGGTAGCAGAGCCAGGACTAGCAACTCAGTTACCAAGATAAATAATACTTAAGCGCGATATTCTTTTAAATTGTGGTAAAATATACATGGCGTAAAAGTTACCATTTTAAAGTTACAGCTCAATAATGTTATATATATTCACATGGTTGTGCAACCAACCTTCAGAATTCTTTTTATCCTCCCAAACGGAAACCCTCCCCGTTAAACAACAACTTCCCATCCCTCCCCCGCCCCAGCCCCTGGAAAGCATCATTCCACTTTCTGCCTCTATGCATTTGACCACTCTAGGTGCCTCATACAAGTGGAATCAAGCAGTGTTTGTCCTTTTGTGTCTGGCTGATTCACTCACCATAATGTTTTCAGGGTATATCCGTGTTATAGCATGTGCCAGAATGTCCGTCCTCTTCCAGGCTGAGTAATATTTCTCTGTATCCAAAGTGGGACGTAGCTATTGGACCGACATTTTGGCGATCCATTCATCTGTCTATGGACACTTGGGTTGCTTCCACCTTTTTGGCTATTGCGAATAACCGTGCACAAACACGTTCTCAGGACCATGCTTTCGATTCTTCTGGATATATACTATGATAGTTTTAAAAATCGAGACGGTTGCAAAATATCCACGATGAGCACAACGTCAAAATTCCGATCGCCGATTTTTCCTTTTGTGTCGCGCTCTTACGGCTCTGCATGGCAGTGGCAGGTAGCCATGGCGACCCGCATCGCACGCAGGAGAAAACGGAAGTCGGGGGAAGGGCTTGCTTCCTGGGCCCTGGTGAACTGGCGCCAGAGCAGAAATGAGACCCAAGGCTGCTGGTTTCCCTCCTGTTACCCAGGGCCCTTTACCGGTCCTCACTTGGCCTCTGCCCCAACAAACTGGGTGGGGACCAAGAGACATGTCACCCTCTCTTTGGCTAACACATAGTAGGGCCTGCCCAAGTTTAGTTCTTATTAATCCCTCCTTGAGACTGAAAATGTCAAGGATCTCTGTGTACCTCTATTTCTCCTGGCTGCCCCAAAAAAGAGGGGTTTTAATCACATCCTCTTACAATATTTTCCCTGCCGGTGTGACTCGTTCCATTTTGATCAAATATTTTACAAATATTTACAAGTTTATTTCTAATTCATACTCTGCCCACTTTCAGGAAAGATCTAAAATGGGACATAGCTATTAGACTGATGACTGGTGTTCAAGAGGGGACGCAGCTGCCCGTGGCCTCCTCAAGCCCTCCCTCATTTCATGGTCTCATTTAAGTGCAGCCACCGAGGCCATAATTAATCTCCACACAAGGTACCGATTCTACCCGGTGAAGGAAGTTCATTAAAGTTAATTGCCATTGCAAAGAGCCATACGTTCTATTCTCTTGACTTTGCTCCTGACAATGTAAAAGACCTGAGCTCTTGGAAATTGTTGTTGATTTGAGATTAGACTTCTGTCTTCACCCACAAAGCAGTCGTGGTAACCCCACAGAGAAATGGAGGATGAGGGATTTGTCTGGAACCACGGCCTCAGAGTTCGGGGCTCCGAGCTCGAGGAGTTCAAAAACAAATTTCCACATCGCTGATTTCATGGCCAACACCTGCGTTTCAAACAGGTTCTTAGGGTGACCAAGCACGTGTTTCAAAGCACTAATGAGGTTAATAAACTCAGGGATACAGGTTTACCTGGAAAACTCCAAGAAGCAGGGAGGTGACAATGTATAACTGTGTAACGGGGAGGAAAATGAGGAGAGGGAACCGCTGTGAGCAAGGCCAGCCCGGCCTCGGAGGGAGGCAGACTGTGAACCCGCGACAAATGAGGAAGCGGGCCAAGGGCTGCCAGCAGTCATTAAGAAGAGGTGATGGGGGTGACTGAAGCCGAGAGGCTCACACGCCAGCTCCGAAAATCCAGGTATTGAACTCTTAGCAGAGAGATGGATTCTAGGAATACCAAAGAACCACAGTTGTGTAGGTTT